TTATCTTATCTTATCTTATCTTTTCTTTTCTTTTCTTAATAACATGGCCGGTGAGTGTATAAATAAAATGAATTTAATTAAACAGCTCATTTTCTTTTCTTTTAGTCCTTCACTTTACCTCATTATTGGACTCCAATTCACTCTGCTTTTATTGATTGGGATGCACAAGTTTAGAAATCAAGAAAAATATACACCAAGAAAATTTGTCAAGATAAAATATGAAAATTTTGATGATGATGATGATGATAAATGTTTACACTTTCTGTACAGACCCAACTTTTTACTTTTTCTGAACAAAAACACCATTTTATATTTTACCTTGTATTGTTGTTGAACATTAGACTCGAGTTAGTTACAGCTGTCTGTAAGCTCTGTCTTTATTTTTCAGAATCTGATTTTGCAATTCGTGAGGTTTTTGGGAAGTGGTGCAACTTGATGATTACTGGAACTTTCTTGTTTTTAAGGATCTGATTGTGTCATTTATCTAYGTAGTTTGCCTCGGTTGTCTTTCTTCTGTTCACCTGTTTATTTTCCTACACTGCCTGGATTTAAMTAAGCATGTAAGAGCCTCCCATTGGAWAATTACATGGGTGATTATGTTTCAGATGACAACAGTCATAGAAAAGACGTTAATCTGTTTCAGAAGGGTCAAATTATTGGAATCAAGCAGAGGAAACATCTGACGAGATGCTGAAACTACAAAAATTTGGTCCAAAGTGTAATTAAAAACTGGATGGACAGTGGGAAAACATCTTTAAGAAAGAATTTGGTCAGAAAAAAATCTTGCATGATTGTGATCAGTGATCACCTAAACCACATGTGTCAAACTCAAAGAATGCGGGCCAAATATGACCTGCCACAGCATTTTATGTGGACCGTRAAAGCTTCAAAGATGTATTAAAATCTTAAAATGAGTGTATACCACTTTAAAGCTAGCATTCATCATAAACTACATCTCCCATAAATGCATGTTGGTTATTTTACCTGCAAAATGACAACATCCCACCAGGTTTGACGCAGAGGGTTAGATGGCAGCTGCTGAAATTTGCTGTGTAAAATCTTCTTTTCACTGCATTATTTCCAGCTATGTTTGCTGCAGCCCAGTTATACTAGGAAGTGGGAATTTCTCACTTACAGTCGTAAATTTAAACAGGAACGCCCTCCAGTGGGAGTTCCCTGGCGAAATGTGGGAGAGTTCAGAAATCAAGATGGCAGCTACTCACCATAACTCTTACTTTTAATAGTATTTCTGTATTACTTATTTCACATTTAGTCAGTCGTACACGTGGTATTTTTCAGGACATGTTAAAATGTTGTTTCAATGCAGGACATACCACGTAGAGCTCAGTTATTGTTTTTTAGCGATGCTCAGCCGTAAGGAATGCGGCGTTTTATGTTTTTAGCTAAAGTTAAACACGAAATGTGAAAGTTAATTACAAGTGTCCCTTTGAGGACATGTAGCCTCATTCATGAGACAGCTCAGTCTGGRACTGACACCTGTTCTGTCCTCATTGGATCATTCAGAAAAAATACAAAGGTGGAAGGGCAAGTATGTGAACCCGCCCCTCTGAGCCCCCAAGCGAGGTCGTATCAGAGGCAGGCTTGAGCTAGCAGACCGACTTGTGAAAAAGCAACCCGCGATTCCACGGCTCAGAAAATGATGAACTGATGACATCAGTGAGCGACTGCAGGATTTATCAACAAACAGATTTATTACGGAGCTAATAATGACACGAAACAACAACTTTGTAATTAGCTTTAAAAATATTGAACCACAGGATCGCTAAAATGAGTTAATTCAGTTTTGTGTGTGTGTGTGTGTGTGTGTGTATGTGTGTGTGTGTGTGTTTGATAAGATCGAGGCAGACGTCAATGAGCGATTGCAGGATTAATCAACAGATTTATTACCGAGGAAATATTAAAACTACACGAAACAACAACTTTGTAGTTAGTTTAAAATATTGAACCACAGGATCGCTAAAATGAGTTAATTCAGTTTTGTGTGTGTGTGTGTGTGTGTGTGTGTGTGTGTGT